GGAAGGTTTTGACCTGGCGCCGAAATGTCATCAGTGTCGGCGCCAGACGAATCTCAGTCGGGAGGGCATTCCATAGTCTGGGGGCATATGAAAGCCTTTGTGTGACCAAGAGCCCCGGGATCTCCATGTTGATCACAAACTGGTTGGAAAAGTCTCCTCCAAAGGGTTATTTGTGTCCCTATAAAGCAACTGCCTTCCCATCCCCTCCTCAACTCCGGTGCACCCTGCAACGGTGCTCGCCTGAACCCCTCTGCATGTAGGGTTCCTTGCAGAGGGCAGTAGCAGGGTCAACTTTACATCAACCCCAGGATCTGTAGGCAGTCTGGGTAGGCCTACTCCACCATTTTTGTCCCATTCTTTTGGGAGGGCTTTTGGAATAGTGCTTACACAAGATTCCTGGAGGCATGCGGAACCAACTCTTAGTACTTTGGGTCCACTGGCTTCCCTGTAGTTCAAGGAATGTTGGTTGGGCATGCAAAAATGGATGGCAAAGCTCCAGGTGACTTCCAGTGGAGGTGTCCTGCAGCCTGGGTAGAATTAAAATGATATGTACTTCATCTCTGTCATTTGGCAATTATATCTTCAGGCTCAACTGGGATCTGAAAAATGAGCCCCATTGCTTTCTAGAGAAAAATGTGACCAGATAGATGTACTTAGTAGCTCACGTCCACACTTGTAATGATAAATATTGGTAGCCTGTTCAACACTGTGAATGTTTAAATAATCCTAGCAGCAACCTTTTGCCTGTAACCTCATTCTAATAAAGAATGTAGGTAATTTTCAGTGCACGTATCTCTTCCCTCCCTTCCCCTGTTTTGTTGTTGATCATAGTATCAAATGTTAAAATGTGCTGTTGTGATGGGTTCTGAGGTACCAAAACAAACCACCTATTGTTGATGTACAGTCATTAGTGTAACCGTTTTGCATTTATGTTGGAAGAGATAGTAGCTGTTGAATAATGAGTGTTGTCAGCAGGAGGTAAATGAAAAGAAAAAGCACAGGTTTGACAAACATGGGTATACTGACAGCTGGGGAAAATACAAATGGAGTTCACCCAATGCCTTACAAATAAGCCTCTATTTAGTGTGTTTGTAAAGTAGTACAAGATGACTCTTTCCACATCCCAAATACTGTATGTTTTTTTTAAAGCATAGCTTCCTCTTAATGTGTCTGGCCTTCCTGATTTAAGTTTTTCTCCTTCGGCACCACCACAGATGACAAATGAGTTTCTTCCACCTGTATGTAGCATGTTGTACAGCAATTGCCACATATCACTATCCTCATTTGTCTCTTAGTTTTAGAACCTGAGAAATCAGGAGAAAATGCTGGTTTTGCAGCTAGTTATATGTAAAAAGCAATAATTCCAACTCTTGCTTGTCAGAAGAAGCCCAACTCCGATTTCTGAGTATTTATTTATTTAATTTATATACTGTCCATCTGGCCAAAAGTCACTCTTTGCAAAGTTGATACTCCTTGAGTACATGCAGCACCTCAAATACGCTTATGTGACCTAGATTATTATCATCATTTTTATGATGGATTTGAGATTGGCTATAGGCATTAAGATGAGATCTGGGAGGCTGCATGATGTGAATTTAGGTGGGACAGTCATATGTATTCTAAGCATTCTGGCTTTATGTGTCACAGCAGGCCAGAGCAAGTTAAATGAGGTGGGCCAGGATGGATTATGCGCATGGCAAGTCTTTTGTAATCACCTTATTAGTTTTAAAAGGAAGAACCAATATCTGTAGCAGCTCCAGCATGGCATAAGTAATCTGGCCACAGGGGCACATGCCTTAGTTACATCCCATTTGTATTATTATTATAATGCACTTCTAACACTTTCCAAAAGGCTACTTTCAGTGGGTTCAGGATACTGCAGCTAGACTCCTGGCTGTATCTGGTTTTAACTTAAAAAACCCTAAACTAGTGATTCCCAACCTTGGGTTCCCACATGTCCTTGGACTAAAACTCCCAGAAGCCTTTACCACTAGCTGTACTGGCCAGGATTTCTGGGAGTTGTAGTTCAAGAACATCTGGGGACCCAAGGTTGGGAACCCCTGCCCTAAATGACGTAGATTTAGGCTTTTGGAGGGACTGCCTCTCTCCATGGGAGCCTTCTTTGAGGGAGGCTTTTCTCTTGGTCTCACCCCTCCCTCCCCCCCAAGGCACAATGGGTGCAGACATGGCTAAGGGCCTTTTTGATGGCTGCTCCCAGGCTGTGGAATTCCCTTTCACAGGAGATGGGACAGGTTTTTAAATATGTAAAATTTTTGGAGGATGTGATTTTAAGGGGATACTTGGTTTATTTAAAAGGCATTTTATTAATTTAAAGGGCATTTTATTAATGCATTTTAATGGGGTTTTGTATTGTGCCTTTCAATAATTTGTTTTTTAAATAGTGTCATGTTAAAAATATCTCTAATTGTTTGAATAGTTTTGTTTTTAAAATCATTTGTAGGCTGCCTTGAATCCCTCTATAGGAGAAAGGCAGGGTAGAAATTAAATAAGTACATGAGTAGGTGAGAGGTCCTGTTTAGGGACCTGCAATCCAGTGGGTCGAAGCCCCCGCCTGGTCCAGGAATGTCGTGTTTCAGATCCTACCATCGGTGCCAGAGGAGGATCTGCACCCACATGGTTTTTTATGGACATAATACGGGACCATACAATGAATATGGTCCCACTCTCTCAGTCGTGTTTCAGATCCTACCATCGGTGCCAGAGGATGAGTATGGTCCCACTCTCTCGCTGTAAATGTTTTCCAGCCAGCAGGACATGGGGTTAGAATGACTTTGTTTAATATGGGATGTTGTTGGGTGTACGGGATCATTAAACGGGGGACTCAACAAACTGCAAGTTTCATTCTAGAAAGTAAAGGCTTTGCTCCAGTATCCTTTCTGTTGTTGTAAATAGATAGGGTGGGTGGATGGGGGTTGGATGTATTCTGAATTCTGAATTCTTTTGTGGGGATTTTTTATAAACAAACAAACAAACAAACAAACAAACAAACAAACAAACAAACAAACAAACAAACAAACAAACAAACAAACAAACAAACAAACAAACAAACAAACAAACATGTTCTTCCAGAAGAACACTTCACGAAACCTTGGGAAATGGGTAGGGGAGGAGAAAAATGTTCAGAATTCAGTTTGGTCAGATGTAACAGGCTCAGGATCTGTGGTAACTTCAGTTTCACATTTTCTTTGGGAGTGAACTATAGGTAAGAGGCCATCAGGTTAGATCTACAGGGGTATGGAATAATTTGCCTATCTCTGCTGCTATATACAAAGTGCATGACACTCTGTCAGCTGTTAGGTTTTGCAATGTCTAGCCTGTTGTAGAGTTCTGAAAGACTCAAAAGTCTAGATTTTTTACTTAAAAAAAAGGAGGTGGCACAGCGGAGGGGCAAATTTTGTACAGTATTACTGCACAGTATGTATGTACACACATTTATGTTAATATTGTTCTTATTGTTTTTCTTGAATTAATAAAAATATTTTTTTAAAAAAGAAAGGAAAGGAAAAGAAAAGCAATTTCCCAATTTAGCCTTTTGATTTTATGTATAGATCACATAATTAAGGGTTTTTTTAAATTTATTTTTTCTGATTATACCTGTAGAGGCCAGAAGACAATTTGCTGTCAGGTAACCAGTCAGACGTATGCAAGAACTGCAATGAAACATATAAAAAATTGAATGACATGTACAACAATATGGAGAAGAGTGGGCAGAAAGACGAATCTGGAGAACAGTTTCATTTGTGCATCGATGTCGAAGATGCTGTGCGTATTCTTGTCATTCTTTTTATGTTCTGCGCAATGACTGTATCATTATCTGCTGTCTATTTTAATTAGTTATCAATTGTGCATGGAGCTTTTGTATTTCCTGGGCTGCCAGTTGGGCACCTGGTTGCATCTTCAGTTACTCAGCCGGGGGAAAGACAGAGCGCACAACAGACAGCCTGGGTACGTAGCATGGATGACCTGATTTCTCATCCTTGCTTGCAGGACACAGTAGGATTTTAGCCATAAGTTTATGTTCAAACAAATACTCCAAATAGTTTACGCCCAAAATAATGTAATGATAGTGTGTGTAACCCAGTGCATAGGAATGATAAGCTGCTGTAAAAATGACAAAATAGGACAAAACTGATAAAGCAGGAGGAGGCGATCCTTGTCCTTTGTTCCTTCTTGGTAGGTAGCCTGATTGTAACTTAATGAGGGATAATTTCACAGTTTTGCAGTGTAGCTGTATCTTCTTAATTACTTTTACATTATGGGGTGTGTAGCCTCCCTAATTTGAGGGAGGAGAAATTTCACACTGATTGGAGACTGGTGCAGCTAATAGTACCTCACAGGAGAAAACCCGCAGATAATGCTTCTACAGCCATTTGGTTCAGAAGCACCTTCGGCTATAACAGAGAATTTGGCATTCAGAAAGGTTACTTTGGCTGTCTGTTACCCAGATTGTTTAAACTACACCCAGAAGATAATTGGAGCCCTGGAATGCATTCATTCCTGAACCTTTTGATGTCTGCACAAATACTGATGATTTTCTACAAGGGACAGATTTTTTTTTATTCTATTTTATATTTTTACCATGAATTCCTTTCCTGGTTAGATGAACATCACTCGAAGGCTTTGGAGCACAACATTCAATTGTTCCGTCCCATGCAGTGATACAGTGCCAGTGATTGCAGTGTCTTCATTCATCCTCTTTTTGCCAGTTGTTTTCTACCTGAGCAGTTTCCTTCACTCAAAGCAGAAAAAACGTATCCTGATGCCATGTAAGTAAAACTGTCCATTATGTTGAGTCTATTTAAGAAAAGGAAAAAGAAAAAGCCCTCAACAACCCCAACAACCCAGTGGTGTGTGGTAGCCAAACTATTTGCATGTGGCACTTTGGTAACAAATCTGGCAAGACCCACAACTGTTAGGAATTGCTACTTTGAGATCTTCACTGCAGTCGCCCCAGCTTGACTTGAACAGAACTGATGTGGAACTAGTAACTGGATTCAGTAGCTCTCAGTGGTTCATCCTAGTACACACAGGCCAAACTCCTACTGCGTAACAAAAGCAAAGTTGTGTCAGTTTTGGTCTGTTCCTTTGGGTAAAGAAAGATTCCCCGCTGTAATTCTTGGGCCTGTGTGCCCCTAAGAATCACTGCAGGGGCAGTTGGTTTACCTGTGAGGAAAAGATCAGAGCTTAAAACTTTGCTTAAGTTTGAATCCGCTTGTAAAGCCAGCCAAGTGGGCACTCCTCTCTGCATCTCGTGAGACTTGAGTTCTACAGTGTCATTGTGAGCTGTGTGAAGAAGCACTTCATTTTATCTCTCCCGACTCTCCTGCCCTTCAGTAGCTTACGCTCCTGCCTGACATCATGAAAGTACCAAGTTGGTGTGGGTGTTTGAGTTTCTGCCAAAACTCCAGGGAAGAAATGCAGGTGGTTGTGACTTTGTTAAACCAAACAGACAGCATTGGGATCTGGTTGTTCTACTTTATTGGAAGTGTGCTAGAATGGACAATATCAGGTGACATGAATCGCTTTCTGAGCCAGAGGTCTGGAGGGCTAGTGGCTAGCTGGAAAGGAGTAAGCACTGGAATGAGCCTGAAGTCAACTTGTCCTGCTTTTTTACAGCAATGGTTGATGGGTAGAGGGTGGGGAAATGGCTATACCTTATGAGGCCATGGCAGATGGCCTCAGTTGCGCAGTTGCCATAGCAACATGCGGACCAAACCTGGATAAAATCAGATCCCATTTTTCTTTCACAAACATAAAAAAGATGATTAAAAAAAACCCTGTCCCTCATATAAATATACAAATGTTATGAGAACCTGATATAGCCGACATACTTTGCAGGATCACACCTGTTTGAATGCCATAACTGTAGCGTTTAAGGTATTTTGGACATTGTCCTGTCTAAATGCAGGATGCAATTACAGCAACCTTAACAAAATGCCCCACCAAAATGGTTTGTTCCTTTTTCGACTCTTCTTTCCATTAGGACATTTTCCTTAAAGTTTAGCCCCACCCTGCTTTGCTTCTATGTCTAAGGGTATTCTTTGAAAATCCGTTGCATAAATTATAGTCTAGCCCTTATTGGTTTAACTAGAGTTGCTCATCAGTCTCAAAATTAAAAGTTCCTTCACTGAATCTAAGGCTCTGGCTTGTATTGGAAGGCCCTCTGGGGATGTCAGAGCAGCTGAAGCTGTAAGATCAGAGCAGCCTGAAGGAATCTAGTGAGGCTTAGACAAACCCCATGATGTTGCAGAGGAGTTTCCTTGTAATGAAAGGTTATGCTGCAGGCCAGAAGGAGAGAAGAGAAGAAGAGCTTTAGGATGTCAGATATGACCTTGAAGGATCTCCTTGCTTGTCTCTCTGTTATGGAGAATGGCTGTTGGTGGGAAGCCTCCAGCAGCCTGTGTTCAGACCCTTCACAGAATGGATTTTGTCTGGGGGTGGGTGGGTCAGAGGTTGCTACTCCTGCTCTATATTATCTTCTTTCTTCCTGAATTGATACAATCAAAGAGAATCCATATCTTGTGATTCTGCTGCATGTATAGCAGAATCCCATATAGCGTTATAAGGTGTATTTGCATGCAAGGTTCTGCCATGTGGAAATATTTATTTTGGTATGGTTGCTAGTTTGGCTCTCTTATGCAAGTGTCCTCTATCGAGATGAATATAGAGTGAGAGCTTTGTTGCTGTGCGATTCCTAAAACTTCCTTCTTCTTCTCTTTCTAGCGAAGCGGTTCCAATCAAATGACAGTTCTGTGAACATCCAAGAGAAAAGGAATTGAGCTGGCAGAATGCAAGCCGCACTGGGACATATTTTAATTGCTCTGGAGGAGATGATTACAGTTTAGCCTTTCACTGGATGGTAGCAAAATGTTGTGTGACTCTGAGACGGGTACATGTAGTAATGTGGCAAAGGTTTTCATTGAGGTACTGTTTATCACTTTGTATGTGGAAAGGACATTATGGAAGTACACCCCCCAGACCCAGGATTTTTTTTTTCTTACATGCTTTTATGACTGGGAACTGTCTAATATCAATAATATGCACTTGTTTTCATTATACATTCCTAGCTGACTTTCTGTTTAAGCTGGAGGGATAACAATCTAATTACAATGTCCGCATGCCATGAACTTGAAGGTTCACGATTTTTATTACTGTTCATTACCATTCTTTTTTGTCTGTAACTTGTATGTGTGTGTTCTTAAGATGTCATAAGAAAAAAAAGTAGAACTTCTGCCTTAACTCCTAACAATTTTTGCAACTTTACATAATAGATATTTGATGTTATTCTTTAATTGGATCATTTCTTTAACAGTAATCAACTAAGTGAAATAGGGTGGGGTGCTTTTTTTAAAAACACCATTTTGCAGTATTTTACTGTGGGCAACAGAGTTGCTAGAACTACTGATTTTCTGAATGTGTGATATTAGTGTGAAATTAGTGGAAACATAGGGGCAGGAATGTTCCGTCCCTTGAAGCTGCCTGAAGCCAAGGACCAATAATCTAAATTTTCTATAAGCTTTATTCCCTTGGGTCATAGCTGTTACAAAGGCAGGAATTGTGAGGATTGTTCTAAATTGGGTTGGTTACTTAATTGGACTCATTTCCTCCCATCTCCAAACCAGCCTTTCCAAAACTGGTTGCATCTAAATGTGTTAGACTACAACTCTGAGGATCCCCCACCCAGCCTCACGGGGAAACCTGGGACTTTGTCCAACATATACGAGGAGAGTGGTATGATAGGGAAGGCTGCCCCAAAGCTAATCTTTATGAAGTGTCTTTATATTTACACTGTATGCATATATATTTGTAAGGATTTCAACAGTATTTTGCTACTTTTGTATACAGTGGTGCCCCGTATAGCGATGTTAATCCGTTCCAGGATTAACATCGCTATACGGAAACATCGTACAGCGAAATTAAAAAGCCCATTGAAGCTGCCTGAAGCCAAGGACCAATAATCTAAATTTTCTATAAGCTTTATTCCCTTGGGTCATAGCTGTTACAAAGGCAGGAATTGTGAGGATTGTTCTAAATTGGGTTGGTTACTTAATTGGACTCATTTCCTCCCATCTCCAAACCAGCCTTTCCAAAACTGGTTGCATCTAAATGTGTTAGACTACAACTCTGAGGATCCCCCACCCAGCCTCACGGGGAAACCTGGGACTTTGTCCAACATATACGAGGAGAGTGGTATGATAGGGAAGGCTGCCCCAAAGCTAATCTTTATGAAGTGTCTTTATATTTACACTGTATGCATATATATTTGTAAGGATTTCAACAGTATTTTGCTACTTTTGTATATATTGCCTTGGGTAAATTACAGTAAAATTAAGTCACTGGATATTTTGAATTTTGCTTCAGTTGAACTTATTTGAGCCTAAGCAAAAATGCAGAATGGGTTTACATGCATTTTATGAAAGTAGAGATTTTTTTTACGCAGATTCTTTTTTTCTTTTGCAAATTTCTAAATATGACTGAATTTTAGCAATAAAGGAAATGGGTGTATTTTTCTGTTGTTCCAATGACATATAAAATATGCTTAGACATTCAGACATTCAAGGATCTCAGACATTCAAGATCTATATTTGTGGCAGAACTTAGCCGTCTGAATGGAACAGGTACATTTATGGTTCAGTTGTAATATTCCTTGACACTCCAGAATGTCATTGGCAGAACAGAGAAATGTTAGTTTTTTAGACTGATGTTTCCAGAATCTCTTAGTCAGTGACTGTTCCAGTTGATGGGTTCTAGGAATTGTAGTCTGAAAAGTTAATTTTCCCAAGGTCTGCTCATAGGATACTGCAGACCTTCCATTCTCCTTATAGAGGAAGATATACCTTCCTGTGGGAATCCTTCCTTGGCCTATAGTGGAAAGCTGTCACTGCTCCAACAGCTGGAAAGTTGGGGAGAGAAAAAAAAGGAAGGAAAAGGGGGAGTGTTCTGGGATGCCTCTAAAACCCTCTAAAGAAGACATACACAACTTTAGAAATAAACAAATGAAATAATCTGTGATTACTTTCCCTCTCTGAAAGGTTAGTGGGTTCCATTTTGTTGTGAGATCCGATGCTTCAGGAGCAACTGTGGTTAGCGTGTTGTCTTAGAATTAGGGAGTGCTAGATTCAAATCCCCTCTTGGTGATGAATTTTGCTGGTTGACTTTGATCATCTACAGATCAAAGAATAAGTCCAGAGTTTAGGTGTACTTGCCCACAATAAACCTTGGGGCTGGACAGTGTGCAGACTCTCAGTTGTTGTTGGGTTGCAGCTCCCATCCTTCTTCACTACAGTATTGGCCATTCTGGTTAGGGTTGATGAGAATTGCAATCTAGCAACAGATAGGGAGGGCACACTTTCCCTGTCTCCTAGCAGGTTGATTGGTTGGTTTATAATACCCTGTTTCCCCATAAATAAGACCTAACCTGAAAATAAGCCCTAGTATGATTTTTCAGGATGCTCGTAATATACCTCCCCCAAAATAAGCCCCAGTTAAGGGAAACCCCGGCCTCCACCAAGATGACATGACTATATTTGCATAAATGTAGATTATTGTACATGAAAAAAATAAAACATCCCCTGAAAATAAGCCCTAACGTGTTTTTGGAGCAAAAAACAATATAAGACCCTGTCTTATTTTCAAGGAAACAGGGTAGGTATACTCTACCTAGATGATTTATGTACATCAACTAGGGGAATGTTTGTTTGAGGGTATGTGAGAGAGAGCCTACAACTGTAAATGCTAGGTTAAATAGCACATTCTGCTCATTAGGAAAGAGGAATGTATGGACCTGAAACAACCTCCCAAATCCCACTTCACACCAGTATGTGGATTGGCACACAGTGAAGCACTCGGAAATCATTATCTCAGTCTGATTTTGGCATAGTTTCAAACTGCACCTTATCATTACAGTAATTGGGAATGTAATGAAATGCATGTTGTTCTAAGCATATGACAGTATTTCACATGGCTGTACTATTTTCCCTTGTGGAATTAGTTGTTACTATTTTTTTAATTAAGAAGACACTGTTAGACCTGACTTGGGGCTTAAAATTGTTAGGCTATTTCCTGCCTTGGGTTCTGTATATGTAGTGACTAGATTTCTAGTAGTATTCTCACGTCTACAACATTACAGACTTAACTGGGGCTGATGCGTACATGTGCTTGGCACAGAAATATGTATCATCTCAGACACAGCAGGGGTGCTGTATTGATTTTGAAAGGTCACGGTGAAGGCCTGGTCAAGAGCGTGCCTATATTGCTGAAAGTCATCTTGGTAGAAGAATGGTATTCATTTTTGTACCACCTCTTTCATTGGCAGAGAACATTTGCTAGATCAGGACAGTGGTGCTGGGTTGGATGCTCTTTTTCTCCAATCACAGGGAAGTTGTCTACCCCACAACTTAACCTAACTATAAAAAATCCTCAACTCAGCTCTGTGTCAGAAGGAAAAAGGCATGGGCAGTTGGTTGAGAGGTTGAATAGATTATATTAATGCAAAAGAAGGAAAGAAAGGGAAATGAAGTTGGCTGTTATAAGCTGGCACTTTGCCACTCCCAACTCTCTGTCTCTTGATTCATCTGTTTAATTCCACTGCTGCTGGATTGAGTGGTCCACTTCATCATGTAATGTCAGGGTTTTATAGGCAGAGAAAGCACACTGGAGTGAATCTGACTCCCAAGTGCTTCTGGAAGTCACAGCAGCTTTTCCAAAGGCATTTAAATAATAATATTCATGTGCCATCAAGTCAATTCTGATTCATGGCAACTGTTTTCAGGGTTTTCCAGGTAGAGAATACTCAGAAGTGCTTTACCATTCCCTTTTTAAACTGCCTGTTAAACCAGTGCTGAAAGTGACATAGGGACAATGCGCTTAAGGGCTGCAATGTATGTAAACGTTTGTAATGTGTCCGAGTCTCATATCGGAGCAGAGTTTTGTTTATAACTGGAAAAACGTGGGTCCCAAAACTTTGAAACCATTAGTGAAGACACAGTGAATAAGTGTAAACCCAGCTTTTCTAGAAGAAATGTTTTATTGCAATTTGTCTTCAGGCGTAAATTGCTTCTCCTGTGCCATTTATGCTGCCATGGAAGTGAACGGTGCCAATAGTAACAGATTGATACTACTCTTTCTGAATGACAGGATCAGTTGGAAAGTAGGGTTAAGGGAGCATGGATAATGTGGCTTCAGAGTGGGATAGTCTAACCAATTATTTCTGCTAGATGGTAAAAACTAGCTACACTGGTCTTTATATAAGTCCAATAAATAAATAAATAAATAAATAAAAATAATTTCTGCTAGATGGTTAAAACTAGCTACACCTAAGTAACTTGAAGTGTCTCATTCAAGCAGCCCAGTAGGAACAGCGTATTATTGCTAATGAAATTTAAAGAATATACAGTAGTGGAAGCACATCCAGTTGTACATTGCCAATGCAAGTGCATTTGTCTTAAAACATTTGCTGCTTCTGTCAATTCTCATTCAAAGCTGCCTAGCAAAACTAATTTGGTGAACGAAGTAGAGAAGTCATGGTGGAACATACCTACATTCTTAACTGCCCCGATTATTTTTTTTCCCTTCCTCTGAACTACTGATAAGATCCACAAACCACTTAAGGCTAAATAATAGCATTTGTGACAGGTTAATTCTGCTGGATTAGGACAAGACAGCTAAGCTGATTTAAAATAAAACTATGCTGAAAGCACTGTTTTGGATTTGATCCAAAATAAAGTAGATTTTTCTCTTGTATTACACGTTCTTCATGCTGGAAGAAAGAAGGGTAGTAATTTCATGTAATGTAATATTGAAACTTTTTTGCCTGTCATTGATGGGACAAAATCACCTGTGATCTTTTTTTAATAGCCAGTTTTGTATCTATTGCATTCACCTTTCAAGATTTTTGGATTTAATAGCATTATATTGAGTTGAGGCATCATATGATGGTGCAGCTCAAAGCAATCTTTCATTCATGCTCAGAGATTCTGTGTGCTTGTGGAAAGCTATGGAATGACAGATTTGCTCTTATAAGCAGTGGCTTTTTGAGCTCATTCATATTAAGTAGGTCTGGAAGTCATTATTCTTGGATATGGTGCTTAAGTGGGATGGAGTGAGGGGAAAGCTGCTTTTATGATTTTCCAAGCTGCTAAGCTAAATGAAAGTACTCATGTGATTTTTGTTTTTGTTTTCTTTCCTTGTTTAAACTTAAAAGAATGAAAGACAGAACTTGTTTCTGAACTTTATGATATCTTTTCCACATGGTTTAAAGTGCTACATTATGCATCCAAATATTTTTTCTTGGACTCTTTCTGTACCCCTTTAGAGTTTATTTTTCAACCTATTCTATATTTTTAAAAAACAAAC